GGATCCAACTCAATGGTGTCGTGCTTGATCTAGGCATTGCTACGTTCAACCGACTGGTCACGTCGTTCCAAGACGAAGTCGACTTGAGTCGGTTCCTCTTTGCTGACCAATGTTTTCTTAACGAAATGTTTCCTGACTTTCAAGTGGTGAGCTACAAGTACAACGCGCTAAAGACGCTGCGGACGGCCCATCCTCAGACATGGGACATCGAGGTACGACAATGGCAATCGTGTGTGTCAGTGTTTGAGGACGTGCCTCGCAGGAAGTGAAAAACATTCACTACATCTTGACCAAGCCGTGGAGCATCGATCCCAGCCATCCAACCATCGTCGATCCCTATGTGGACCTGTACGAACTTTGGTGGGCGACACGAGTCCACTTGCCGGCGGAATGGATCGAGGTCGCCTCTGGGAGACAGCCTTTGGAAAATGGACGTCAACGGGCCCAATGCGATCGCGTATAATCCACTGGCGTCGGACAATGCGGCGAGGACCAGGCTGTTTCCTCCATCAAGGGCGAAGAGGAGGTCTGCCGCGAAAGCTAGAGGAATCTTGGCCACGTCGATGTCATTTTCGCATGAACTTGCTGTTTTCTGGACCTGTCGTTCCTACCTGCCTCTCTAGCTCTCTGTCACAACGAACACCATGACCAGATGGATGATGGGTGGGGTGGGTGTACGACCTCTCCAACACTTCGCCAACACGATCGACCCGCGCGTTCTACGACATCTCGTCGTCGAAATGCCAACTTCTCGCGAGGAAAGATGCCCTCGCGTTGACGATGCCAGTCCACTGTGCAGCCGGTGCAAGCTTTGGGTGGCATCTCCGCCACTCTCTTGCACGAGATACATTTCAAAGGAATCGCCCTCGGTGAAGCCGGCGTGATCCCAAACATCCCACTCTGTCCGGTGCGACTGATTGGACTACGGCTAAAGAAATGTACGAACAAAGGCATTGATTGGACGAAAATCAGGTCCACATGCGAATGTCGACGTGTTATGGTGGATGGGCGAGTGGACGCAGCTGACACCTCACGTCATCCATGAGGGCCTGCAACAGCCAACTCTGTCTTTCCACAGACGATCTCGTGGAGGCGTCACTTTCGCATATGCCACCAAGCATGCCACGATATGCCTACGCCACACTTGTCACGACGGACTCGTACGTCGTTGGCGCCGCGGTCCTGCGGGCAAGCCTGCTCGCCGCCAAGTCGCCGTACACGCTCGTCATCATGTACAC